TTGTTGTTTGGTGGGCCCGGGCTGAGGATTCGAACCCGCCACCTTAGGTGTATGTGGCTGGCGCCTTAGCCGCTTGAGCCACAGGCGCCGAGCCTCAAATTCTTTACAATTCCTTTTATTATATGCTTAATTGTATCCCATTGTGGGTAAAACAATATCCCATTATGAAGTTTTTACCAAGTAGAATAGAGCTCCACATCCTTTTCTGTGTCCCAGTGCACATGGTATATGATAATTTCTTGGGCTCTGGAGTAAATGGAAGAAGCAGCTGGAGGGCAGCCTGTGCACAGCCCTTCCACAGAGGAGAGGATCAGGATACCCACACGGGTGCTGAGGGTCCACTGAAACGTTCCAATACAGAATAGTAGAAACAAAAAGATTCAACCTGTTGACCACTTCCTTTCTACTGCCTATTTTCACCCTTAAAAATAAAAACAAAACAAAAACCCTACATGCAATATCACTTTTAAAAAAAAAACAAAAAAACTAACCATTTGAACAGGAGAAGGTGACACAGGAGAAACTAAGGGATCCGGATGGGGCAGTTGAAACATCTCAGGTTTAAACTTGGCATTTGCTATCTTCACACATTCCTCAAGTGTTGTGATGAATGTATTACATGTGGCACTAAGCAGAGAAGAGGCTTCATTCATATTCTGAAAAATGACACAAAGACATTAACAGACTCACACACAACTCCACAGAACCATACACAACCTTATAAGGGAGAAATGAAACATTATCTCCTATGGATACATTAGTAGGTTATAAATTTATTTAAAATATACTACCTAAAAGCAAGCAGGTGAGAAGGGGCAGGCAGGGAGGGTTTAATTTATACCTAATGGGTACAATGAACATGATGTGGATGATGGGCATACTGATAACACTGACTCAAACTGTACGAAAGGAATTCATGTAACCAAAACATCTGTACTCCAAAATATTCTGAAATTAAAATAAATAAATAAAATAAAATATACTGCCTTAGAAAATTAAATCAGGCTCGGCGCCTGTGGCTCAAGTGGCTAAGGTGCCAGCCACATACAACTAAGGTGGCAGGTTCAAATCCAGCCCAGGCCTGCCAAACAATAATGATGGCTGCAACCAAAAATAAATAGCCAGGCGTTGTGGCGGGCGCCTGTGGTCCCAGCAACTTGGGAGGCTGAGGCAGGAAACTCGCTTGAGCCCAGGAGTTGGAGGTTGCTGTGAGCAGTGATGCCACAGCACTCTACCCAGGGGGACAGCCTGAGGCTCTCTCTCAAAAAAAAATAAGAAAATTAAATCAATGCAAGGAAAAAAACTGTCTCTTGGGTAAACAATGTAGGAAATGAGATTCCAAGAAAAACTTAAGTTTTGCATTTAACTCAAATATCATGTTGAAAAGCCATGTATAAAAATTTATCTTGGAGAAACCTAACGTAAATGGTAATTTTTTAACTATCTATAAGAATTCCAAAAGTAGACCAGGTGTCAGGGTTTGTGCCTGTAATCCCAGCACAACAGGAGACTAAAGCAGGAGGATCACTTGAGCCCAGGAATTCAAGACCAGCCTGAGCTATAACATAGCAAAACTCTGTCTCTACAAAACATTTAAAAATTAGCCAGGTGTTGGTTAGGCACAGTGGCTCACACCTGTAATCCCAGCACTTTGGGAGGCCAAGGTGGGTGGACTGCCTGAGCTCACAAATTTGACACCAGCCTGAGCTAGAGCAAGACCCCATTTCTAAAAATAGCCAGGCATTGTGGCAGGCGCCTATAGTCCCAGCTACTGAGGAGGCTGAGGCAAGAGAATCACTTGAGTATAGGAGTTAGAGGTTGCTGTGAGCTGCGACACCAGAGCACTCTACAGGGGGTGACAGAAGTGAGACTGTCTCAAAAAAAATAAAAAATTAGCCAGGTGTGAAAGAGGCTAAGGTAGAAGGATCACCTGAGCCTAGGCTTCCAAGATATAGTGAGCTTTGATAACATCACTGCAATCTAGCCTGGTCAACAGAGTGAGACACTATTGCTAAAAAAAAATAAATAAACAATAAAAATTATTTCATCTAGCTCAAAGCTGCCTCAAACTCCTGGGTTCAAGTGATCCTCCTGCCTCAGCCTCCTGAGTAGCTGAGACTAAAGGTGCCCAGCACAATGCCTGACTAATTTTTCTGTATTTAGTAGAGAAAGGGTCTCGCTCTTGCTCAGGCTGGTTTCAAACTCCTGACTCAAGCGATCCTCCCCCCCTCAGCCTGCCAGATAGGTAAAATTATGGACACAAGTCATGACACCAGGTCAAAATAAGAATTCTGAAGATGATCACAGCAGTGGAATGCCCTAAAAGTTGCTTAAAGGCCCTAAAACTCATGTCTACCCTATAGCCATTCTCCCCTCTATTAGTGGAATCAAAACCTCAATTTTGTTTAGGGCAACAAAATGTCCTGCCCCTGTGAATGAACCTAGACTGGTCTAAGTCAGTCATGGCTATTCCAAGATCCTCTGTCAAATATTCATTCTTCCTAGTTTCCTTTAAGCCAGACTAAAAGATGATGAGAAGTTTGCTGGAAAGGTTTCTGGGATTTTTGTTTTCTAATTTAAAACCAAGGACAAGTTGAGACGGTCTCTCTCCACCCTGGCCACTACACTACCTCCTGCCTCTTTGTGACCTTGGCAGTTACTCTGAAGCACAGGGCATTAGGAGAAAAGTCCAACACACCAAGGATGGCCATGTGAAAGGAGGGAACTGTCTGTCACTCAGCTGCCGTGGCAAACATGAGCGAGGGCTTGTGGTCAACAGTGAAACGCCCTGAGTGTTTGAAATAACTGAAACCCAAATTGGACTCAGCTTATCTCACACAAGATTTCTCCCCAACAGGAAAAGGCCACAGGAAAGCAGGGAAGATTTTTTTGTCCCACTTCTACAAAATGAGGCAAAGACGATAGGGAACCATGTTGGCCTTTCACCCAGAGAGCCGTAGGGCTCACTGGTGCTACTTTGCCAGAAAGGGTAAACCCATTTCACACCTTGATCCTACTAATCTGAATTTTGATTCCTCCACCACTGTTCTTCAGTAATAAATTTTTAATTACTTCATAAATAGAAATTATCAACTCTCAATAGTTGAAGCTGAGGCCTTATTACCAAAAGAAAAAGCAGTTATCTAGTGAATTCAGCAGTCAGCTTGAATGCAGTCAACAAAGCCTGGAATACTTCTCCACTCCAAATTATCAGAGTGGCTGCAAAGACAGCCACTGATCCTGGGGAACTATGCTGCTTCATGCTTTACTCTGGCTACAGGTTAAAGTAGGCAGATCATCTATAGTAGGCGAAGCCCAGAACAGGTGAAAAGGCTTCTCTGCCATCTTATGGGATGATTGAAGACCCTCACCCACACCTCCAGTGCACTACAAAGCAAACCAGTCATGAAGGGATCATCTTTTATACCTCTATGCTGGGAGAGGAATGATTCTCATCATGGTGAACAAATTCCTGGATCGTGTGAACTTGTTGCATTAGGAGGTCACAGTAGAGGCGAAGTTCAGACATTTTGGTTTTCAGAGACTCACTGGTTTCATTTATTTCTGAAAGAAACATATATAAACATCCAATTGGATCATTTTCATATTCTTTGGGTAGTATAACAAAATATAATCATTTAAAAAGTAAGGCAATAAATATAAAGAGATGTGAGACCTCAGAAATTCGATCACAAGAGCCCTAAGAAACATTTCTCTTTAGATAAATGGGGGGGAAAATGGCAGCCATACATGTACCATGAAATTCGGGCAATTTCTAGAGACAAGCTGACGAGCATTCAGTGTTTTATATAGTATATTTCCATTTCATTACTCATCTTCAATTTGACAAGTGCTGATATTTCTTTCATGAATTGGCTTCATTTTTGTCCTTCATACATTTTTTTTCCAGCTCTGATATTGGCTTTCCTCTTAACAATATACAAACTGGGCTCGGCGCCTATAGCTCAACCGGCTAAGGCGCCAGCCACGTACACCTAAGGTGGCGGGTTCGAATCCCCAGCCCAGACC